TATCTCTGCCACCAGAATAGCGCCACTTAGGATTGAGGTGAAATAATTTAGAAAAAAAGGAAAGCTATTTTCTTAGAAAAGTGTTAAGGTTGATGTTTCTTACCGAAATATTAGGTTTAAGGTACGTAAGAGTAATGTGGTCACCTTAAGCTTTGCCGTCCTATAAAACCAAAACTAGGAGGTGGTATGAGACAAAAACACAAAGTCGTATACTATAACTAATATATTAATAAAAAATAAACAAACTTTGGCAATAATTGAGAACACTTCGAAAAATCAACTTAAAAAAACATTACTAATAATACTATATACTAAAAAATATTTACTATAATGTCAACTATCAAAATGGCATCGATAAAGCAGCGCCCTTTTGACCCTTTATTAGTTGATTGACTGATGAAGAGCTATCGAATCACAGAGCCATCTATGCAAACTATGCTGTAGTTTTTGAGTAAGAAAGTGGCCGGATGACCGTATTACCCTCACGAACAATATTTTAAATTAGATTAGAAATGGTAAAACCAAACTACGAATATTCATAAAAGTAGAAGAATTAAAAAAAAATTAAAAATATTATGTGTACTTATATATTTAAATTAGAAACCGAAAAACGTATAATTAAATAAATGTGTATAATTACATGTGTGACCATCTGCAAAACAAATAAGTTCACCTCAGTCCGAAATAGCGACATCTGGTGAGCGTAAAATTATTAGCCCTCATTATTTCTTTCATTGCAATTCTATTATTATTAGTATCAACTGTCATTAAGGTTATTGGCACTACAATTTCAACCCGTTCGAGTTAACTAGACACCTGACGCTGTGACGTCACTCGTACAGTACTACGAAGCGAGAGAGATGACTTTTTGTTATGTTTATTTCTGAAATATTAGTTATCCGTTACCATTGTTCATTTAGGGAACATGAATAAAATAGGCGACTCACACGATAGGCAAATTGTATATTTAAAAGGAATGAAAAATACAAAATATTTGGTGGCGATCGGGTCGCGAGCTATCGGCGAGTGCCGGTCTTAGGCGTGGTGGTGAGAAACCCCCCGCACTTCACATACTCCCCGCAAACACCGTCGGTGCTGTCGTAACGGCACCGACAACCATTAGAGCCTATTAATGTCCACTGCTAAACATAGATCTCCCCAATAGATTGCCTCAAAGGGATATTTGCCATAGTTATCGCGCTTGGCAAGCGAGTTGGCAACCGCAGTTTTTTTATTTCTAGTCGTTAATAGGAAGACGCTGCTGCCCATCTCCTAATTTGTTTCACTCTGTCGCCTTTGACGACACCCACAGAATGATATAGGGTTGTGAATATTTTTACACCGCCACTACACGGCCAGAAATATTAATTATTTTTTATATTAATTAGATAAAAATGGATAAATCAAACTACGGATATTTGTAAAAGTAAAAAAATTATAAATGTGCAAAAATATTAAAGAGCAACCACTGAGCCATTGTTTTGTTTAAATAGGTGTATAAATTAGAAATCGAAAAACTAAGTTGTAACGCTACTTTTCACTTATGGTGACACTGATAAATAATTTTACCTCAGTCCCAACTAGCGACATCTGGTGAGTGGTATATTATTAGTTTTCTTTCGCACCGATTGTATATTTGTTGATCGTAGTGAATGAAAATAAATGTTAGTCGTTAATGTCTTTGGTGCTTTTTATTATGATGTGAAGTGTGTTAATGCTTTTGTTTGAAGGTAAGATTGTTTATTTGAATGTAAGGAATGAAATGTGATAATAATAGTCATAGATATTTTTAAGCAATGCCTGGCTAGAGTACGAATTTACAAATCACTATTGGAAAATATTAAAAAAAAACTAAAGAGAGAAAGGTGTCTTAAGATAGTGCCAATTGGAAATCAATAGTCTCCTGTTTACTCCGAGTAACAGACTTGGGTGTTTATGTTATGTTGTTTTCTAACTTCTTCTTGTTTTTTTTTTTAATTTTAGCCATAAACTACGATAAAAAAAAAAACTAAAAATATTAAACTTAAATTATCATACAGTCCTACTCCCCATGGTATCGTGCCAAGAACGCTGGCTACGTTTCGCGTTCGTTTCACGAATGGTTATAAAAATGAATAAGCACTCTTATCACCGACGGCGAGGACCACTCGCGGATATAGTGCCTTTAGCAACTTCACCGCAAGTAGACCCCACGGACCTACCATAGTTTCTACAGCAAATGGTACAAATATGTAGTCATCTTTCTTTTCCAACCGACTTAAAAAAGGTGGAAGTTCTCAATTCGACTATATTTTTTTTATGTGTGTTAGAACTTGTCTACCTGCCTCAGAACTTTTTTCTAAGTGAACCGATTTTGGAGATTCTTTTCTTATTTGAAAGCTGGTGCTTCTCTTGTGGTCCCATAATTTGACCAAGATCTGACCAGTAGTTTTTGAGTTATGCTCAATAATGCGTATTAATTGACTTTGACTACATTGATGATGTTCTCATTTTATTTATATTGAAGTCGGTTGTACAAAACATTTAATTTTATCACTTGTTAGCCTTTTCATTTCAGACAGTAATTTGCCTTAACACTTGGTGTAAACGAATTGATTACACCGCATTCTATCGAAAGCTATAGGATCTTTTTGGCACACTTTGTCGCCTCCTAGGACACCTGCGGAACGAAATGTGGTGGATTCTTTTACACCACCACCGCATGGCTACTTTTCCAACGTTTTGTTATAATTGTGTTTAAAATAACTATGGCTCATATACCACGTCCTCTTCACTAGAATTATCCTTTTGTTTGATACAAAATAACAAAATAGTTGTTATGTAACTTTGTACTCTGCTACGCAATTAGCTAGCTCTATCTAGTTCTGAGATAATTGGTTCGTATAAATATTATTTTTTCATTGTTACCCATGGTTGTTTAGTATTTTATTTTATTTTAGGTTTTTTATTGATCGAGCTAACGCCGACAAATTTTTTTTTAACAAATTGGCGCCAAGCTCATTATCTAGAACGTTGCCAGTAAAAATATTAACGAATGGTAGTAGGAAAAACCCTCCTTAATGTAAGAGTACATTTTGACAATGAAAAAATAAAATTATCCAGTATGTTAGTTTAAAAGCTAAAGCATTTCTAGTTTATAGTTTCTTGATAAGAATAAAAATATAAATAATAGTTATTATAGTTGTTGTTTTGTAAATCCAACAATGTCGATGCACGCGAGTTTAGAGCTTATTGTAAATAAAAAAAAACTAAAATTTGCGTACACGTATCCTATACTATAAAAATTGTTAATGTTCATACTTTTGTGTACATTCCATAATGGTGAGACAATAACCAATATAATTAATGAATGTAAGTCGGGGATGTGAAATAAATAATTTTATAAAAGTGATGTTTTATTTGACGTGTAACGTAATATTCCACACGTGAAATTTAATTCATTTGAGTGTTCCTGCTTGCACAAAAATTATACGGAAATAAGTTCATGTTTCTAACATGAATGATTTTTAATTTTCTTCCACAGCTGTTGAGTTATCATCTAGGATGGCCTGGCCCCTAAAAAGCGATGGATCGAAGCCCAATGTACGTAATAAAAATATTTTTTTTAAAATGAAGTGTGAAGTCATGTTGCGGCCATCGATTTTTGGCTTTCGGAATGTTTTTTTACTTAAATAAAGCGCTATAATTGTTTATTTCTATTGTAATCATTTTTAGTAATTTGTTACCAGAACTTTAAATAATGGTAATTGCTACTTTTGTGTCTGTTTGTGTAATTTCATTAGATACTTAGCTTTATTGTTTTTATTTTAGCTTTCCTAGCAATCCGTTTATGTGTGAAGAATGGTGCAGAATGGATCTCGATTGTTGCCAGAGAAAGAAGAGATGACTTTTATAAGCCAGCTAAGAATATATATGTGTGTGTATGTATAAATAATATATATATATAATACATATACTACAAACATATATACATACTAAAACTAAAATAAATATATTATGAATTATCTAATAAAATGCAATCATTATACTACATACTATATTATATTTAATGGCTAGTGTGGAAAGTATGTATACTAACAAACATAAATGCCCAAAACGTAAATAATTTTAACTAAACTTATGATCATATTATAAATAGCTGTTCCCCGCGACTTCGTTCGCGTGTTAGGGTTTTTATGTTTCTGCGCGGAACCCTGATTCTTTTTCTAAAATAAAAGTAGCCTATGTTACTCCTTATGAAATCAGCTATCTGCCAGTGAAAGTCCCGTCAAATCGGTCCAGCCGTTTCGGAGATTACCCGGAACAAACAGACAGACAGACAAAAATTTTAAAAATTGTATTTTAGTTATAGGTATCGTATTTACTTTCATATGCATTTAGTAAAAAAACTGTAATTTTGACATTACAAACAGACACTTCAATTTTATTTATTTGTATACATTATAAATTATTTTAGTGTTCACCGCTCCTCCATAACTTTTGTAGCTAAATTCGAAGAAGCAAACAGAAACGAAACAAAACGACGTAGCTTGCAAGGCAATAACGGGAAAAAGTACTTTAATTTATTATTATTTAAGGTTGATTTCACACTAAATGTTATTTAACCTATGTCTTTTCATTTCCAAGTCACAGGAGTAATGCATTGATTTGTTCCTTTTTGTAACTAATGGTCGTAAGATTTGTGACTTTATTACTAGATGCCATGGTTGTAATTGGGTTGAACATAAAACTGTTGTACGGTTGTGTTCACGCGGACAGCGTCACAGAATAAATAAGTAACAGCTTGGTAACAGCGTTTAGCTATGATTTTGTACGTGACCCGTTATCTAGTTGGTATTGTTGATCGAAGTTCTACAATTAATATTTGTAGTATAATTTTTGTACGCTATAAATGGCAAAAATTTTACTCATGTTTTACGAAATAAATATATTTACCTTTATGAATGTGAGGAATGAATGAATAAAAATAATAATATGTAGATTCAAAATTTTATTTTCGTCTAGTCAGAATGAAGTATATCTTTAACAGGTGTCGTAAATGTAACATCACTAAACTTAACCCTCAAACCCTCTCGTTGTGGTGAACAGCACATTACACCGACAAAATGATTCTCAGCAGCAGGAAACGGGCAGAGTCGTAATAAGTACCAAGTAGATTTATCCGGTGAATATTTAACACAAAGAACTTGGTCTACTCTTGACAGTCGTATCCAGAATTTGTGGGAATTTCCTGTGAATGTACCTGTAAGCAAAATTGTATGAATATAATGAAGTTAGTATTAAAAACTAAATTTACGGATTTTATTGCGTTTGATATCAACTTCTTTTTTAAATTACTTTTAATTATTTAATTCTTGACGTTTAAATCCGGTAATTAATTGAATGGCGATAAAATCCATAAAATTTGTTTTATTATAAGAAAACATTACTATTTATGTTTCCCTCCATTTCTTAAAATTAACCTATAATATCAACGTATATAACAAAAACTGTGGTAGCTCAGAGGCTATTTCCAGTATATAAAAAAGTACTCTGTGGAGGCTATGCACTCGCTATAAATTTCACAGTACGCGAGCATCCCGGGTTCCGAACCCCACCGACTCCAATGGAATTGTAAATTGCAATTTTAAATGATGATGTACTCCACGTGCTCGGCGGTGAAGGAAAACATCGTGAGGTAACCTGCATGTCTGAGATATAAGAAAAAAAATATTTCGAAGACATGTAAAGTTCGCCAACACGCAGTGTGGCCAGCAGTGGGATGTATAATAAGCTGTAACTTTAACTTTTAAAAATTAAAGGTGGTACCTACTCAGCGTGTACTCAGCCAAAAAATATGATAAGATGAACAACTTTTTCTTCTATAGTCGTTTACAATTTAAATTTGTTTCTAATACTAATTAATGATGGTGGTGTGCCAAATAAATATATCTTACTTTATTTTCTTTCAGCGATGCAGTTGTTTCTTTAATCCCTAACCTTACCTTTGTTGAGAATAATTTAATATAACGCGTAACCGGTGCGTGCAATTCAAAAATAGGATTATAATGGTATAAGAAAGAAATGGTACTTTCTGCGTTACACGTACAGAACGTCATCAGCATGCAAACGTCGATAGTGCCATCTTTCGGCGATATTAGTTTAAAAATCTCAAAACATTTACCTGTTGCCCAATCTGACACTTCATTAGTTAGTACACTGCCAATCATAGGTTGTCCATCGTTGTATTCAATACCTGCTTTAAGCCAATGCTTCTCATCTAAATATATCATGACTCCAGCTTGGTCGTACAACGTTGTGAAATCGGCCTCCACACATACCTAGATATAACTATAAATTTTTATCACGGTTAATATTCTACTCTTCCGTCTTATTTTCTTTCTGAAATAAAATAATAGTGCAATGCACTCTTTGTCTCAGCCTTTGTTGAGAGTCACTATAATTTTAGGCTTTGACGCATTACATATTGGCATAAGGCATAAGCTATTCCGCTGAGCTAGGAAGAGGCGCAAATAAATAAATCGATCGCCGATTTGAGGATACATAAAAATAACGATATTAAAAAAAAATTAAAGCCAGCCATGAATAACCATTATTTTCCCAAAATCACTATATACGTTTAAATAACAAGAGTTTATTTCAACATAGAGATTACATTTCTCTTTTAACAGTGGTAGAGCCACGCGGCAGCTTTTGCTGTCGCACGGATGGGCCGGCTCGATCCGGGGTGGTACCACGACCTCACAGAATACCAGCGTGAAGTAGAAGTTTAACCTCTGCGTTTCGCTTGGTGAGTGCAGGTGGCCGGTTTTTTTACTGGAAATAAGGCATTCCATCTTAGTCCTCAAGGCTGACAACGCATCTGCATTTTGATTCGCAAGCGAGGAGAGATGTAGATGTCTATGGGCCGCAGCAACCACTTACCATCAGGTGGACTGTGTGCTCGTTTGTCACTCTTATCCTATAAAAAAAAATGAGGAAACAAAATGCAGTTTAAATAAATTTGAAAATGTCCCACCACACACGGAGAGTGCAGAGCTATTACAAACGAGTATATATCGCTATACTTCTGAACTTCAATATCGTGTATTATCTATAAATTTAGCGTGACTTCGGTTCGTTTCGCTTGAAGCGCGACGACAGCGCCGCCACATATTTATAGTTTTGTTTTAACATTTGCGAAGTTAGCAGAAGCAATTAAAATGGATAGTAATCATTCCACTGTGCTTTTGAAATGGTTTTTCTTATCCGCTTGTCCACACATAATTTGTTTTCTCAAAAAGAAATATTAACTTGCGTATGTGGCTACAGTACTTTCAGCTACAAAGTTGACTGTCGGTAAATCGAAGTGCAATAGTGTTTGTACAATAGAGCTACGATATACGATAGTTATCCGAATACAGAACCATAATACAAAACCTATCCAACTGCGTTGAGATATAAAACAGGGTAACGTTATCACTGAATTGGAAGACCTTTTTAAGATACTGAACTGGAAAATGCAACATTAATTATTGCGAGTACCTACATCGTTCACCTTCGATTTGCCGACGACATACCTAGTCATTATGGCACAATCACTGGAAGGCCGTAGCACTATTCTCGTATAACTGCCAACCTTGTTTCTCGCAACGGATAGGTCTTAAGATGATCATTGTTAAGGCAAAGGTATACATGCCACTCATAGTTGGCCAATAATAGGGAGCACTACGCTCGAAGTTTTTGACGAGTGTATTTAATATTTGCTAAAAACTTCGATGACTATTATGTTTAACAGTCAACTACTTTGAGCGTACCGCACATAACCTGCGGCAGATTGTCCGACTAGGTAAGGCCAATATCGACCAAGAGGTCGGTTATGGATGAAGAAGGCTATCTTCATAGCTCGAAGTTTCTCTGCGTGATAAGACTTCATTAGAATATCCCTATTAGTACAAGCGTAATCGACATAACCCAACGGATCGGTAAGGTAAAGTTGCAATGAGCCGGCCATATAGCTCAAAGAACCGTCAATCGATGGGGAGGAAAGGTTCTCGAGTGGTAGCCTTGTATACTGCTAACCCAAGTGTTAAACGAACTGGAACTAATTTTTTTTTATTATTTAAAAAATTACCATCACTGGTAAATTAGCAGTAAATTTAAATTTTAGAGGGATTTTCAAAGGCAGTTTACATACATAAACATGACAAACATCCAGACCCGTAAAAATTAATTGTAGGCCATCCAAATATATGAGCCACGCGTAATTCGAACCCACGGTCCTCATCGCCGCAAGTCAATGCTAAGCTACTGCGCCACGGAGCCATCAAAACGTTATAAAGATATAACATGCAGTCGATGGATGCTGGTGGTTCAGGACTCAGGATTGTGCTTTGTGGCATTTCTTGGAGGAGTCCTATATTCAGCAGTTGACTTCTAATGATGATGGTGATGATAATGATGGTGATGAAATCACTGACTTTAAATAATGGCCATTCCTTTAAAGCTTTTTCTTTAAAAAATCTTACCCTCAATCTAAGAATTTCTCATGTTTTGTTAAGTTTTGCGGCATTTTCGGTTCTAAGGACTCCGGTCGGCAGCAACCCATTCTAGGCCAATGGAACTTCTATAACTATACCACTAGTTATAGTTTATTTATGTAGGTTTATTCCTCGAGTCTATATCCTTAATGTTCCTATTTGCCAAGCCTGATTACCGCACCATTACAGTCTATCAAAAGTCCACTGCTGAACACAGGTCTTTCACATTTATAGTCTCATAGCAGAAATATTAACCATAGTTAGGTACCACACTTGGCAGGCGGGATGGCAACCGCAGTTTTTTATTTTGTATAGTTGTTATAAGGAAGACGTTGCTGCTTGTGATATCCTGATGGCTCCGTAGCGTAATGGCTTAGCAATGAGTTGCAACGCTTGGGGCCGCGGGTTCGAATCCCGCACGGAACAAGCATTTGTACGGTCTACAAATAATTGTTCCGGGTCTGGATGTTTGTCCTTGTGCAATATATGTTTGTAAACTGCCTCCACGATACAGGAGAAAATCCTAGTGTGGGGGTAACGTTTTTCAAAAAAAAAATCTCTTACTTGCGTTGTTATCTCGTGGTTTGTTTTCTTCTGTCGCCTTTAACGATATCCACAGGAAGATATGGGTAGTAGAAGATACACGGTTACAAAGCCTGATAAGTTATTAAACATTTTTAATTTTTACCTGGATTGTAAAGTTATCTTTGATATTCACGCCATATACATGTCCTGTATTTAATTTAAATTTATAATAAGTGTCTTGCCAAAAATCTGACTTAAAATCTGTTGCCACTTCTAGATTATTATCAACTAAATCCCACTTTTTAGGTTTATTTATCCATTCGAAATCAGACCACGTAATACTATCAAAACTAGCGGATTCCATGCTTATAAATAATTAGAACAAAAAAATTTTAGAAACAATTATCGAATAAAACTGTTTAAAAATAATTTATAAAAATGCTTATCAATTTACAAAGGTTACTTTAACAAATACATCGGATTGTAAATTAGTAAAGCTTATATAACACTGCTATAATAAAGTATCCTTTATATATGATAACCTACTACTTTATATTATGATTGTGAGTAGGTACTTAAATGAAATACTCTGTTATCACAACCCATCACAACTATCAACTTAAACATAATGTTATGTGTACTTTTTTTTTTTTTTTTTTTTTTTTTTTTGCGCCCGAAGCAATTGGAAATGGGCTACCCCGAAGGGAGGCGGAAAATGCATTACGCATACCACGACAGCCGGTCTGTCCTGGTTATGTGGGACTCACTGCCTACCGGGGGACCTAAGTGATACCCACTAAAAACCGCCTTTGGGGACTGGCAACTAGCTCTATTAAAGCTGCATATGCCGTATCTAAAGCGACCCTCTTTTGGGAAAAGAGGGCGCAGACGGCTAAGTGCCGTTTAGGGACTGCCTACGAAGGCATATTATTAATTTTAACTAGTTTTTAATTTAATTAGGATTGGCCTGAGCCGCCAGGAGGCAGTTCAGGTCGTTTGACAACTTATTTGGCGGGTCCAAGAGAGTGTTTCTCGGCCTGCGGACGCTATAGCGAGAAGGGAGTGGGGCGGTATAAGTAACTGCCTCACGAATAAGTGTGTTAGTATGCGACTCTGATACTTTAAAGAAGTTTTCAGAGAATTTTTTAAGACATTGCTGGATTGTTGGGATTTCTAAATCCCGGTGAAGGTCGGCATTACGGACGTACCAAGGTGCGTTCGTAGCTCGACGACAGAAGAGGTTTTGAACTACTTGGAGTTCGTTAATGATTTTATCGTTAGCGTGTGCAAAAATAGGAGCCGAGTAAGTCATAACCGGTCGTATACAAACCTTATAGAGGGTTCGCTTATTTCGTAGTGACATTTTGCTATGTCTGCCTAACATACTGTTAAGCCGACCTAAATAGAAACGTGCTAGACGCGTTACTCTTTTGACATGAGACTCAAAAGTAAGCCTATAGTCAAGGGTGACGCCTAAATATTTTGCTGACATGTGCCATGGGACAGGGGTCCCTAGCATTCGTATAGGTGGAGTATTTTTCTTGTTTTTATTACGGCGTCTTTTAATATCGAATTGAACTGCGGAGCTCTTCTCCGGGTTCACATCGATACGCCATTTTTGGAACCAATCTCCTAGGTCATCGACTGACTTTTGGATCTTGTTCCTTGCTGAAGATATTCTAGGACTTTTGAAGTATAGTGCAGTGTCATCTGCGAAGAGTGAGAGCTGTACACCATTCGACGGGATAGGAATGTCGTTGGTGTACAAGATGTACAGGAGGGGAGCTAGTACTGATCCTTGAGGAACACCAGCTTTAATGGGGCGCTGAGAGGATAACGTGCCTTCGTGTCTAAAACGAAAGGTACGATGTTGTAAATAAGAGGCTACGAGACGTACTAGACGATCGGAGAGTCCTATCCTATATAATTTGAAAATAAGGCCTTCATGCCAGACTCGGTCGAAGGCTTTGGCAATGTCGAAAAAGACCGCGATTGTCTTTAGTCGACGTGGATAAAAACCGCTGAGGATATATTCCACAATGCGGTGTACCTGTTGTGGACACGAGTGTTTTGCGCGGAAACCAAATTGGTGTGGGATGACAATGGGGTCACCGTCTGTGGGAAACAGATGGCGCCTCATTCGATTTTGAATGACTCTTTCAAAGAGTTTGCCCATGGCCTTTAGGAGGCTAATGGGACGATGACTGGAGGGGAGGTTAAGAGGCTTGCCTGGCTTGGGAATACCAATGACAATTGCCTCTTTCCAAGAAGTGGGAAAGTAACTAAGATTAAAACAGGCGTTAAAGATAATAGCTAAGAGGGTTAACACCTGCTCTGGAAAGTATTTAAGGGCTTGGTTGGATATGCCATCCGCGCCCGGAGATTTTTTGGGCTTAAGTCCTTTGATGAGGGACGAGATCTCATCATTGGACACAGTGATAGGGTCAGAGGTTGTGGGGGGTGAGTTCCGGCGGCGGACCTCATCCTCCACTTCCTGAATATGTGAGGGGTCGACAGGTTGAGAGCTAGGAGAGCATTGTGCGGCAATGCTGTCTGCAAAGCACTCAGCCTTCTCGTCGTCCTCGAAGGCAACCGTACCGTCGGGGCGGGAGAGAGGGGGAGTGTGAGTTGTAGCGTCTATACGGAGGGCTCTAGCCATCTGATAGTACGCTGTATGTGAGGGAGATATATTCTCCATGAGTTCACTCCTTTGGAGCTCTCGAAATTCATAAAGGTGCGAACGAAGTTTTCGTTGAAGACGATTAGCCGTATGCCTATATTCGGGGGTGGGATATTTAGCTGCTCTCCGGAAAGCAGCTTTTTTAGCTTTTAATATGTTGCTAATATATAGGGGAAGCCCATTAGTATTAGCAACCGGAACGACCCTTTCATTCTCCTTAAGGGAGGATTTAATTAGGGTTGAAAGTGATTCGACCGCGGTGTCGATTTTTACAGGACTGTCTAAGTCTAAGTCCGACGATAGGTAATTAGGGGAGTCCTGCGAGTCCATAGCTTTTGCTAGCGAGTCCTTGAAACCCTTCCAGTTAGTGAAGGTTTTCGTAGTTATAATAGGGGGTGGCTGATGGCCAAGAATAAGAGAGACCGGTCGGTGATCGGATCCTATATCGTCTAGTGTCTCAATAGACCTGAGGTTGAGTGAAACTCCTTTGAGTAACGCAAAATCTAGTACATCTGGGTTATAATCGGTGTTATCGGGATAGTGCGTTGCACCGAGCGGGCTGAAAACGGTTAAGTCAAGAGACTGCGTTATATCACGCAGTATCCTACCATTAGTATTAATCGTACGGCATGTCCATTCAGTATGTTTAGAGTTAAAATCTCCAAACATAATGACTGAATTACTTTGAGATAAGATTGCCTCAAAATCATCTTTGAGGGGGAGGTTTTTAGGGGGAATGTAACAGGAGGCTATGACTAAAGACTGATGTCCCGTCATAGATATCCTGCATAACGTAGCTTCCATATTGGTAAGCTGTGGAGTATCAATAAGAGAGCAATGTAGTGTCTTCTTGTAATAAATGGCCGTGCCGCCGCCTCGGCGGTCGTGCCTATCATTACGAAGAAGAGAATAATTTTTAATGGATAAGCCTTTATTGTCTGTGTGTTTAAGATTGGTTTCCTGTAAGAGGAGAAAATCAGCTTCGCGATCTTTAAGGAAGAGCTTAAGCTCTGGGAGATTATTACGCAATCCGCGAATATTAAATGAAATAAGCGATAGCCCTTTGGGCTTGATACGACCGTGACTTCTAGGCAGAGCAGAAGGCTCTGTCATTATAAGCTAAGTTAATTAAGTTAACTTAGCTTACAACGAACGCAATAAATTACTGTGTTCTGCGAGAGCCAAAAGCCGGTCCTGAGGGGACCGGGCGGCGCGCAGTTTACTCGCTAAAACCGAGATTTCGTTAATGTCGATGTTCCTTATCGCGGCGTAAACCGTGTTAAAGTCATCGCCAATTGTCGACTGTTTCTGCTGCGGAGCAGAAAATACCTGTGGCGGTGGATCTACCTTTTTGGGGCCCCAGGCAAAAACTGGAGCCTGCATAGGCTTTGAGAAGCCCGGTGGTGGCCTAAGCGGTGCCTGCGGTGGCCTAAGCGGTGTCTGCGGTGGTCTCGGGGGACCCTGAGGGGGTCGTGCAAAGCCCTGAGACGGCTGAGATACGCCCTGACGGGGCTTCCTAACATATAAGGCCGGGAATGAACGGTCATTTACCGGCGGTGGTGCCTGTCTTGCTATGCGCGGACGAGGAGCGCACGGGCATCCTCTGTAGCTCGCCGGGTGACCTGTCTGTTGACACAGGACGCACGCGGGCGGGGATACGGCATCTTTGGGACACTCTTTGGTGATGTGCGGATCTAGGCACTTAACGCACCTGGGTGGGGCGGAGCAATTGGCCGCCGCGTGACCATACAATTGGCAGCGGTGGCACTGCGCCGGGAAACCGCGCCTACGCGGTGACTCAACCTTGACTCCAGACAAGCCGCACACAGTGCGTACTTGCCGGAAGATGGTTTTAGCCTCCGGGACGTTACTTAAGATTACTAATATTACCGGGTATCTCAGCCCGGTCCTACTATGCATTTTGTGAACCGCTTCAACGGGGAAACCTTGTGACTTAAGGTCCGCAAGTATCTCCTCGTTGGAGAGTTCAAACGGGACGCCTCGGATGACGACCCTAACTTTACGCTCTTCCGGGAGAGCGTATGTGTGGTACGATACGCGTTCGTACGTAAAAAGTTTCGTGATACGGCGGAAATCGTCGATCGTGGTTGGCAATATTTTGATTGCTACGCCTAAGTTGGTAGCATCCTCGTACTTAATTTTCGAGTCGTAACATATCTTACTGAGCCGGGTAAATTCAGCCTTATCTCTTAAGAAGACAGGGGGCGGGGCTTGTTTCTTAGCTAATTGCGGCGCACAACGCGTGGCCGGTTTTGTTGGCGCTGAGCTATCTAACGCGGCAGCTCGGGCTGCAGGGACTGAGGCAGCGACGGAGGCTGCGGGGGAGGCGGGAGCGGCACGGGCCGCTGCGGCGGTTGGCGAACGGTTTTTAGCGGCGCGCTTCGCCGCGCGCTTTGACGACACCGTGGTGTAAGACGTGTTAGAGTTGTTTGAGTCACCGGTATCATCGGAGTCAGAGGACTCCGATGTCCTGGTGCTAGACTTTTTAGCAGGCCTCTTCCGGGAGGCAGATATTGACGACGCGGTGTCGGAGTGAGAGCACTCCATGTCGATTTCGAGCGGCGCGAACGAATTACGTGACGCGAGGTAGTCCGCTATAACGGGCGGCGGTGCCTGAAGGGCGAGAGGAGCCAGAAGGGCTGTGATGGCTGCTTTAAGAGCTT